TCAACAGTAGCTTTGATTAGACATTTTTATTACTATTTAGTCTCGTGCTACACATACATGGTGCAGCACTCTTCAGATAAAATTGTCTAATGACTAAGATTATCACAGATTGATTAATCGTAAGACTGAACATGTGCAGAGTAAATTCGGTAGTACAAATGCAGCGGTAGACTGTGATCATCAAGTAATTAACGAAGGATTAAATGACAATAAATGATGAACATTATAATGATCGTAAAATAGAGTTTGGTTGGGTGATTAGGCCTATGATAGTGCAATCACCCAACCAAACTCTAGTGCAATTTACGATCATTATAAAGTTTATCATTCATTGTCATTTAATCATTCATTGTCATTTAATCCTCACATATAGAAACCTGAGTGTATGAGATATGAGCACATTCCTGCCAACGGTTTCAGAGGAGATAAGTGAAGTTACGATGAGGCGATTAGCAGAATTATTTTTTAGATAGTTTGAATTAAAACATTGATAATTTCATTAACATATCATTTTTATTTTTCTTTATATACACAGGATGCTGAAGTGTTGGAATTATTTGAAAAGGAACATAACACAGGTTGTTACTATTGGATTAATATTTCAAAAGTGGTATACCTTGTTTCAAACCTGCATTATTCTAGTCCTCTCTAGTTGAATGAAACTTAAAACATTTATAATTCTGTTATACATTACTATTGGTAATATTTATTGTTCTTAATTTATTATTATTTGTAATTATTTTACTATATAACGATAATCGGCCTGCGATTTTTTTTTCCGTACGAACCATTTGCATGAAACTCAACTCGGGCCGTCTCGGATTGACTCGACTTGAGTTCGTTAAGAGCAGGCGCTTCACAATGTCGTGACGCTCGGGTATATTGTTCTTTGTTTAGCTACGATAGGCCTATTAAATCTAAATTTATACGTCTGTAACTAACTGTGAGCTTCTTGTATGTTTGTTATCAAATGTAATACTACCTACAACAACAACAGCTAGTACCACCACCAGTAGTAGGCCCTACGTACTATCAATTAAGGCTAGAGCTTGAAAGAGGCTAACCTAGGCCTAATTACAGGTTTAGGTCCTACCTATAGGCCCCTCCCTAGATATGCCCTTAGCTAAGCTAGGGTCCAGCTTCACATGACATTGACTGAAATAAAAAAAATTGAAACAAATTTGAAACATAAAATTAAAAATGGGACAGTGCGTAAGAAAAATATTATTAAATAATAAAATTAAATATATCATTCCGGCATTTATGAACTTGGCCTAAACCTTTTAATGTAATTGATATTAAATAATAATAATAATAATAATAATAATAATAATAATAATAATAATAATAATAATAATAATAATAACAATAATAATAATAATAATAATAACAATAATAATAATAATAAAAAAAATAATAATAAAAATAATAATAATAATAATAATAATTAAATAAAATTATATAATTTCGCCGTTAATTAACTTGGCTTAAGCCTTGTAATCAAGAAGCACTTACAGTACAATACTATTTACTAGGCCTATAATTCACAACTAAGATTCGTTCATTCATTGGTGCTCTGTTTTTTTTTTTACAGGTTCCTATGATGTTATCCTTATTTTAGAGCGGTCTATTCTCAGCTTTTCTCTTAATGTCAAATTAACTGGCACCCTGTTTCATTTGATCAATTAAATGCTGTTCTTTTCCTCCCTCTTTGTGCTTTCCTCAGAAAGCCGCCTTCTAAAACTTTTTTGAGTAGTGATCACATATTGTACATGACCAATCCAAATTACCTGCCTATGCATAATTGTTAGTAGTTCTAGGCCTGGTACTTATAATTATCCAAAAACTAGGCCAACTAAAAAACAAAAATGTTCCTATGTAACTCAAGTTCAAATAACAATTTTATTATTCGTGCAGCTAAATCAAATATTCCATTTGTCATTTTAAACGACCCATCAGTTATTAGCATGACAACTCAATTGCTTAACAATGGGCTGAAAGCTTCAAAGGAGCTCTCTGCCTTTTTGTAGGTAACTTTGATCAGAAGGGTAAAGATGCTTTGATCTTTTAGTATATTCATAACTATGTCATCTACTAAATGTTTTGATTGGTGAAACACTTGGTACTTGTGCATAAGCTTGCAAATATGGATACTTTTCATTCCTGATGATGACATAATTAATGTCGAAATATTGAATCCTGACACGATGGCGTGCATTTCGATACTTGGAGTATGTATTATACTATCTCAACGTCAACGTGTTCTTCAAAATCAGACAGCAAGCGACAATGCTGCATCTCAGAAGTTTTGTAAACGTTTATCTTTTAGCCTATCAAAATTATTTAATCTTGAATTTCAGAGAATTATTAGAGATGTATGTGTCACGCAATGTAATGTACGGTAATTATTATAGTAAATCATTGAAGCGCTTTGGAGGCGTGAAAACCATAAGGAACGTAAAAAAAAATATAAATTATTCTTATTTTCAGAGATGATTGCTAACGAAGACATTACTTACATTTGGGATTTCGCTGATCAGCAGCTATACAATATTACTCACCCAGTAAGTAGTCAGATTAATATAGATTTCCCAAATTTACACATGATGTCACTTTTAGAGCCTGTATAAAAAAAAACTTATATTTGTGTAGACCATAAAACTCACTGAGGTAACGACATGTCAGCCCTGCCTGGATATAAGCACGACAGTGAAACAAACCAACAATAAAGATAATAAAACGTTTACTAGTATATTGTACGGTAGTAGTTTTAAAACATCATAGTTTCAAACTTCTGGAACGGATGCGGGGGTGGGGGTGCAGAGGGTGTGGTCGTATTCTATTAGGAAAAATAATTGTTATATTATATTGTTGATATGAATTATTGGTATGATTTTAAAGGTATGAGAGTGCAATTTCCTGGCACCCTGAGCTCGATATTCTCACACTTTTCGCGCTTCAGCCCAAACAATGTTTGGGCTGAGGTGAAATGGACTCATGCACTGGGGAAGGGGAACACGTCCCCCACCCCAACATATTTTTAAGGAGAAAAGTTTGGTCACCATCACTTTTCGGGAATCAAGAAGATATGCCTCAAAATTGTTGAAATAAACTGCATAAATGACTCGAGTTTTAACGAAAGAGCACGGTAGGTCTACAGCCAGAGTACATCTAATTTTATAGCAAGATATCGGTATACTCTGCCCACAAACATCTGAATTACCTATCATATACGATTCGAGTGCGCGTGCCTTTTTGAGAAGTATGAGAAAAAGCGTGCAAAGATAAAATTGGTTTTTGGCACATGAAGTAGGTAAGTAAATACATCAAAGACAATTAAGTTTTATTTTCTACGGTACATCACAGCGATTAATTAGATCGATAATAATGAATTTTACATATAAGAGTGTCACATCCGGAAATCTTCAGTAAAATTTTCCCAAATTTTACCACCTCAGCCACAAATTACAGTGGTGGGGTTTAGGTGAATGTGGCCACACAGCTTTGAGGTAGGTCAAGTAAAGAAAATACAATTAAAAAAAGTGTTTCTTTTTCTTATGGTACATCACTCATAATAATTAGATCGCTGTGTTCAAAAATCCATGATTAAAAATCATGAGAAATTTGCTGGCGCTTTATCTAGACATAATGGTGTGATGATGATGAATTTCACTATATATAAGTGTCATTTCCAGCTATCTAAAGGTACTATTTCCTCAAATATTCTCACCCACCACAGCCCAAACCATGGTGGGACAGAGGTGGTTGAGGACTCACTGCTTTGAAATAGGTAAAGTAAATACATTAAAGAGAATGTTTTTTAAGTTATATTTTCTATGGTTCATCACACATACTACTTAGATCTTTATGGTTGCCGAAAATCGACGATAAAAAAAAAACAAGATCATGAAAATTTGTTGGCGCTTCATTTTGACTATATAATGATATATTTATGTGATGATGATGAATTTTACTATTATAAATGTGTCATTTCCGGCCATCTAAGGTACTAATTCTTCAATTTTTTGCACGCACTCCTACCGCCAAATCCTGCATCCGCCGCAGAACGTCTTAACAATTCCTACAATTTGTTTTAGATTTCACTGACAAGCGATGTGTATTTGATTGAGTTCAATTTGATGGAAAATATGCAAGGAAAGAAAAGGAAGTGTAGAGTCTCTAGAATGGTAAATCGTTAATATTTCTTCCACAGTATTTTGACATACATTGCAGTCGGTATTTCATATAGCTAATTGTTTTTAAATTAACAATTAATTTTGACAGGCCTTGTTTTGAAAAGTACTGTTATTTGAAGATTCATGTAAACTTTTTCCTGTTTCATTAGTCAAAAAAAACGATGACAAATGAAATGACAATCATACAGATTATCAAATATCGGATGGAACTGATATTTACGTACGCAATCGAAGTTGAGCAACAGCAATTAAAAACAAAGAAACCTAAAATCGTGGTAGTCGGTACCCACATTGAAGTCACAGATAAAGAAAAGATGGAGCAGGTAAAATTTTATTTTAATCTTAATCTCAACATTCGGGAAGAAATATAAACTTTCGTTATTTATTTATTTATTTTATTTATTCGTTTAATATGGCGTAATTTTTTTTTTATTTTACCGATGCAAAGCTTCTTTCCCTGGTCATTTGGTCCATATGCTTAAACGTTGCTGCTGTAATCGGCGCTTGAGTTGGTAACCATTTATACTCCTGGGTGGAAAAGCAATGCAATATAAAGTTCCTTGCTCTAGGACACAAGCAAAATGCATAACGAGGGATTGACACATGTTTAATACAGTGCCCCTTCGGTATTTTATAGGTTATCAGTCCATTCTCCTGTGTCTTAATTTACTACTTGTCTTTTGAGTAAAGAGTATTTAACTGCAAAACTTGCTCTTAGTATGGGCTGCTGGCGTGCAGTCTTTACAATGAGCCCACCTTTTGCCTTATTCACAGCATCTCATTGAGATTTTCTGAATTGTTAACTTCTTGTTCGCTTTATAATTTTACTTTCATTCGTCGTGCAGTTGATTTCACTTTACTCAATAAAAAAATAATTTACCTTACCACCAGAAACTCAACTGCTGTATTTTGTTTTAATGTATTTGGAACCTTTGTAGAGTAGTCAAAATGCATAACGTGGGGTTGAAACTCGAGGATCGAGGTTGGGAAATCAAACGTTTTCGCTGTGCCAAAACGCAATTTGCATTGTCTAATTAATGATTGTGATTTCTATATTTAGGCTGCAGAACAGTTTAGAATATTATTTCAAGAAATCAAAGGCACTCCTTATGAAAGTTACGTGGTGAGAAAAATGTACCTTATCGACAACGAGTCTCCAACTGGAAGCGAGTTTCAGGAAACACTTGAACAAGATATTAATGGATTTCTGAAAGACATGCAAAACACGATTCCACTTACATGGTATAAATTTCAACATCTATTAGAGGAAATGGGTCAACAGAAATTTCATGTAGCTTATGATGAGGTACGAATTCATTATCATTTCATAAACTATGAAAAAATATGTTGTTATCGACTATCTTGAATTTCTGGATACTTGTTCAGTTTTCTTAATAAACTGATATAAAATGAGTAATAATTAGTAATTTAGTAGAGTATCTCAAATTTCCTTAATTATTATAGTCTTTATAGTTGTTCTGATTTATAAAATAATAACGTTGTATTACTGAAGGTGTGTAAATTAGCCACTCAGTGCGGAATTTCAAAAGAGAATCTCAAACATACTCTCAACTACTTACACGATCTTGGAATTGTCATGCACTTCAAACACAACAGACAACTAAGAGATATAGTGGTATTAAACCCAAGGAAGGTGAATAATATTACCGAGAAACTCATCACAGCAGTGAATCCTAACAACAAGATGGTGAGTTAACAAAATAATATGTTCTATAAACATATTCTGTTATACGTGATACAGTTATTAGTCAGATAAAATTAAATTTAAAATTACTGTACTTTTAGATCCAAATATGGGATAAACTTGAATATGAAGGTATATTAGAGGAACAGTTAATCAGATATATATGGAGCGAAGAACTTGCCGAAGATGAAACTACCTTTAAGGTCTTCTTGAACTTGATGAAACAGTTTGGACTACTGTGCGAACAGATCAAGGTTTGTTTTTGTAATTTGGTTTTTATACTATAGCACTGATGAACCTGTCAGTGTCATGTTAAAACTGCTGAAGGTCTATATATCTTGCTATTGTTATGAGGGTGATCACACATTTACTTTAACAAACATGATACTCTCTCATCGTAGACTTCTTTGTTGATCCATCTGTAAAAACAATAGGATTTGTACTCGCACTAAAGTTTCGAACGATCTGTTTTCACAGGTAGACTAGCGACGGTAGGCCTACATCCGGTAGGCCTAATACAAATCGATTTTTTTGTACCCAATAAATGAGTGTATAGTTATATTTATGGATCAAAATAAAATTGTTGAAAGATATAAGAAATATTTATAATTTTGTTTAATTTGGCTTGCTTTCAATTTTAATTAGAACGAAAAGAACGCATCTCGTTTGTTTTTCGTACCATGCCGACTGAAATTTAGCGGGGAGGAAATGACTTGTACACAGGACAATGATCAGATGGTATCTATCTACATAAATTCCGATGGATTTCTACTCGATACTATCTTTCATCGTTTAGTTGTCAAGTTGATTGAAATGGTTAAAGCTAGAGGCTACACGACTGCACCCGAGTTATTCTACAACAGGGCAACCATTAAGTTAGGACATCACACTCTCAGCCTAGGTCAATTAATCATCGATGACAAGCCCTGCGTGAAGGTAATTAAGTTGTTATACATAATATTTAAAATACTGCTGGTCACTTACAAAAGTAAACTATATAACTCACCCACGTACATCTGAGAACTCATTGAAGAGCATCGTTCACATCGCTCACTAAGATCTGCATCTAAAAACCTCCTGCATGTTCCTAAAACATAATTATACAATCACTTACTTAAAACCCATTTATTTCAACAATTAACTGTTTAATAATTTATATCGTGTTCCTTCACAACGGAGTGGCCTGCTTTGTCTCTAGGGGCCGCTATCTTGGTCGCAGACTCTGAGCACCCGGTCGTCTGTGGCAGGGCAAATGTGAAACCTGCTCCTTTGTTCGCGCCACCTAGGTAGGGGACCGGGAATGCGCCAGGGCAGAGGCGGATATTTGACACTTTGAGACCTAGCGTTGTTTTGCCACCACACCCTATTATATTGTAAATTCAAGCTCTTTCCTATAATTTTTAAAATGTTATGTAAAGAGGTACTGTGCAATATGCGCTAAATAAATGTAACTTATTATTATTATTATTATTATTATTATTATTATTATTATTATTATTATTATTATTATTATTATTATTATTATTATTATTATTAATATTATTATTATTATTATTATTATTATTATTATTATTATTATTATTATTATTATTATATTTATTATTATTATTAGTCCTATTACTATTATTATTATTATTATTATTATTATTATTATTATTATTGTAAAATAATATTTTATAATTAAGCAGTGTTTATTATGCCTGAATCATCAAACCAAGACCGCCGCGAACGAAGGATCGGGAAAGAAATACGAAAAGCCAAAACACCATGGCTGATGAATTTTTTACAGGCTGGTGATATTTTTTGTTGGATGTCGAAACAAAAACAATTTGATTAAAACCAAAAAAAATTAAATTAAATAAAGAAAAATAAAAGGAGGCTGAGAAAAAGATATATGTCAAGACATATTGGCAAACTGAGAGAGATTCCTAATGCTAACTGTGTCAGACAATTGGTAGATTACAGTAGATAGAGTAGACCTACTTAGCTCCATTCAACCACCACGACTTAGGCTAGTGATGATGAGAAATTCATTCCGCTGTAGGGCGGACGATTGGTGGTGCAGTTTTTAGAACTGCAGCACACTGTGATCGTCTTTAATCGGTAGACTGCTTTGACCGAGACAGACTGCAAATCCTTACATGATCATTGATATACACACTGTTATTATAGGCCATTAATATTTTTTTGTAGGATTTTGTAATTTTCCCCAACGGGTTCGGTATATATTCGAACAATACTATTTGAATGTTCTCTGTTTTGAATTCAATAATTAATAATGAGACACTACGGGGGTGCCTCGGGCGGACCCCCCTCCCCTTGTTGAGGGTGGGGGAATTTGGAGTGGGGGCTGAGGAGGGCTTTGCCCCTGGACCACTTTCGAATGGTTTTAGCGACGCCCGACCACGCCTGACACCTGACAAATCACTAGTGTCTTAATTAATTTTATTGCTATTGTTTATACGATCGATACAATACAAACATGACCATCATGATTTTAATACTGTAAGTATTTACAGTATTTAAAAGTGTTGAAGTTTTCTGTGGGTAACAATGTTAAACAATAGTTAGTTTTATTATACATTAACTAAGCTTGCTGATAAAAAAAAAAAACCCACTAATTGTGATTCTATGCCGGTGTCTGGAAACCATACAGCTCGCTACCGGAAATTTGATGACGCCATACTTTACAATAGCCAATCAGAGAATAGACCGACAAAATTACTATTTTGGCATATTTTCCGGCGCCGGTATAATAAACACTGCGTAATAATTATTAAAATCATAATAATAAACTAATAGTAAATAATCATAAAATAATAATTATAAAAAAAAATAAATAATAATCAATATTTATATAACGCCAATGTTAATAACCTTGAGGCGCTTAACATAATATACAAAATAACAACAAAATAATAAAGCAGCAATGCAAGGGATGGTGACATTCAAGAAGTCTCGCCCATCGATGTCAAAGTAAACGTCGAAGTCTAAATGAGGCAATGTGTAAAATATATAATATATTAAAAAACCCTTTTGAAAAATGTGAGCTGTCATGACAAAATGAGTACAAGAAATGAAAAACAACTGATAAATTTTGTGTTGGTTTTCCTATCAATTTGGAAAAATAGCTTTACAAAATGTGCCTCAAATACATGTTTACCTTGGGTAACTGAACTCGGAACTTTTGCTACTATGAAGTATACATATTAAACTTATTAGAAAAACAGAAACCCAATTAATTTCAAAATATCACTTTTAGATATATTTTCTTGCATATATCAACTTGACTTGGTGTACCACAAAAATCATGTTTTCACGAAAGATCACGAATAATGCAAGAGTATAATCTCACAGTTGGTTTTAACTAAGGTTCATGGGAAAGCTAAGAGGCAGCGATTCTCATACATACCTTCTCAAAATGTTTGAATGGTACTTTAGACACTGTGTAAGGTTATATTTATTGATCAGTAAATTTTAAGATGACCCTCTTCTAGACGGTAATTTATATTAGCAAAAATGAAAAGCGAAGAATATGAAAATATTTGATGGCAAAAGGACAATAAGTGTTGTTAAACAAAAGTCTCAGATGGTATCAACATACACAATACAGCATCGATGCATAAGATGCGTGCCCTTTGTATTTTATCACTTTGCTCTAACAATAATCTTTTAGCTGGTCACAAATGTAGTCTTTATACAAAACAAATTAAAAAAAATATAGCTATTGTAGATAGAAACAAGTAACAATATTTTTTTTTATAACTTCGTTTAAGAAAATATATACTATTTACTAATACCTTGATGAATTTATTTCTTTTTTTTTGCATTTTATCAAACGTTTCAATGACTCTAACCTTTCGATTTTTAATTTTAGCTTGAAATATCAGTCAATGGTAAGCCTACAGATACTGGGACAGAAGAACTAAGTCCTATTGTGTGCATGCAGGTGATATTATACTACTTTGAAAAATAAATAATTTATTTGTTAGATGTAGACATTTAATAAGATAACACAATAGTTTAGCAATGCGACTTTTAGTTAACAGTAGTTCTATTTTAACATTTTCTTTTTTAATAATTTTAATTATACCTGTAGTATGCAGGCTCAGGGGTCTTGGGCGGGAAGGGGGGCAAAGGTAATAATTTTCCCGGTTTGTGATCTATGTTATATATGGCCACACACATTTTTTTAAAACTGAATATAAGCATTTTCATTATGGCTTTATCTATTACAAACATATTGTCTCACCATCATTACACATTGAGGCCCCTTCTTTTAGGTAAAACGATCTGTCTTAACTTTTTTCTTTCTTGAGTTTGGGACTATTATGTGTTTAAATAACTTAGAAGGCTAACCCTTTAAAAAAAAAAACACGCGCAAAATGCGCGCGAAGCTCGAAAAACATTTTTTTGATGTTTTTAATTCTAATTTCGTCGGAATTGATCAAAACTCAGTAAAATGTGCAATTTTGAGAGAAAACCGGCCTACTTTAACAAGAAATTTGAGATTTTTAGGCACTTTCAGGGGGTAAAAGGGCATCTTCAAGGGGTAGGTAAAGATTATCCACAGATGGATATTTTCCCTTGTCCCCCGGTAGTTACGCCACTGCGGAGAATATCTGGCGGCTTACTTTCAAAGGAACTATGGATACTTTTTGAAGTGGAGAAGGGGTTGGAGGGTGTTGTGAGTCTGGACATTATAATATCTTCCTTTTTATTCTTGTCTTTATTTTTCTCTTCTCTTTTTCATTTCCTATATTCTTTCCTTTTCTTTTCCCCTTCTTTCTCTTTCCCTCCCTCTCCCCTTTTTCTTTTCTCTTATTACTTAGCCCGGTACGACGGCTTGGTCAGCCCGGTAAAAACCGTCAGCGGGGGCAGTCTGTCCCCTCCCGCCTTTTACGCCACTGGTATTATAAGTGCTTTTATCTTCATTTATATTTCGTAATGTTTAATTGTAGTAGACTAAGTTTAATTTTTTTTTAAGGTGTTGGAGTATTTGAAGGAAGAGTTGAAAACGTTGACGCGTGGAATTAAGCACCCTAGTTATGTACTTCGTGTCATGTGTTGGTCAGATTTGCAAGATCACTTTCATGATATGGAAGAGTGTTTAAACAACGATTGTATCCAATGCGTGAAGGGATTTCAAGAAACCAACAAACTACAGAAGCTGTTCAAGAATATGACATGTGGGTAACCTTGTTATTTTAGTAACAGTAGGAAGGATAAAAGCGCATATACTCACTGCTTTACTCTTCTGTATATTCGGCGTTGTTGTCCAAAGACAACAAAGATACACATACTGTATATAAAAATAAAATAACGTCTCCAGTACGGTAACAGGATGCAGTAAAAATATACCACACACATGCACCGTAATTCCTATGGGTGTGGAAAATAGGTCCTCACGTACACGTCTCAATACAAAGAAGAACCAAACTACTCCTTTCAAAGGTAAAAAAAAAAATCTGTGTTGTGTAAATTAGCGCTAACACCTGCTGTTAGCGATACGTAAAATCGCTAACAAGTCACTACAACTCCCCCTAGATCGATGGGGCGTTCCAACGAGTGATGAAGTCTTTATTTTCTTTTTCCAATAGGCCTAAACAAAACAATACTACTTCTTCTGTCCTAGTTTTTTAGGTGCAATCATAATCTACAAACGTCTTTGGCCAATGAACACGTCGCGTTCGATTTTGTCGCAACTGCGTTGTTCTTGACTTCGATTTTGAAACTTGGTAGTTTTTTATTACCGTCCGACTTGGGTGATGCTTGTTTAACACCGACCTCTGGAACGATACAACTATCAACGTCTTCATTTAGATAAGCAACATTTCAGTTTTTTGTAAAACCTTGAAAGGCCCAGTGTAAGAGGATTCAAGTGGTTTCCATACTCTCTCCGAACGAACTAATGTACGGTTTGCTAAATCTTTATTAAGTAGAGATTTTCGTTCCGCTGGGCAAGTAGGTAATGGTCAAATTCTCTGCATTACACGTTTTATTCTATGTACATGTTAGTGAATTCCTCCATGGTTAGTGGAAGTGGTTTGGCGCAGCGGGAACGGTTTGGTTTCAATCCCTCGCTGTGCATTTCGCTTGTTTCCTTCAGCAAGGCACTTTATCTGCATTGCTTCTCTCCACCCAGGAGTATAATTGCGTACCTAAGGAGGTTCGAGTGCAAAATGCGCTGGTATAGCCTATTTCATGCGGCAAACTGTGGAATTTCCCCATAGGCATCGTTCCAATGACTGGGGTAATAATGTGAAAAAGCGCTCTAGACTTGTAGTTGTATTGAGCGCTATATAAAAACCTGCATATTATTATTATTATTATTATTATTATTATTATTATTATTATTATTATTATTATTATTATTATTATTATTATTATTATTATTATTATTATTATTATTTATTATATTATTATTATTATTATTATTATTATTATTATTATTATTATTATTACATAATCACATGGATCAAGCTCAACATCATAAACAGGTGAAACAAATTGTTCCGGAAGTTTAAGAGTTGTTCCAAAAACAAGTTCCGCCGTCGAACATCCAAATTCCCTTTAACCACAGTACGCAGTCTAAGGAGCACCTAATGAATCGAAGAATGCAGACTCAAACTGGCGACCACGCGCGATCTGTATTAATCGTTGGAGGTGCTCCGAAGATTGATATCCAACCTCCTACAAAATCCTTAGCAACCGCTTCTGCTGTGACTTTAGGATTTGGAATGGCTTCTGGCCAACAGGTAAAGCGATCAATACAGGTAAGTAGATAAGTATTAACATCCGCTGGTGGAAGTGGCCCAACCAAGTCGACGTGTACATGATTAAACCTGACATCTGGAGTTGCAAAAGTACCCCGTAGTTCATTTAATTAATTATTTATTTATTTGAACATACACCTTTGAAACGGTGGCACTAAATATCAATTGGTGCGTTCGTACAAACAAAAAAAGGGTAAAATTTAACGAACAAAATAAACAACAATCGACTGTATAAGAATTAATATTACAAAATTAAAGAAAGGTAGAAAAATAACATATTAAATTAGATGAGATAAAAAAAAAATCACATTTCATACTCAGAAATACAGGTCTACTGTAAAGCAAATGCCTAAAATAACTAACCTAAAAATATAAAATCTGAAGATGAAAAATTCTTACAACAAAAAGATTATACCAAGGTAGACCTACTTAACTTAAGGAATACAGACTACGATGTAGAGTCCACTTGTGGTAAAAAAAAAAGCAAAAAAAAAAAAGAACACAATGTGATAAGCAACAATACATTTACAGTAAACTATTGTTGTGAATATTTTAGTTGTGAGCGTTTCTCCCAATCATTCATGATGTATTTTTGTACAGAAATTATCAAAAATAGAGGTAGATTCATCACAAATAAAGACTGAATCTCCTCCTAAAACATATTGAAGTTTAATATCGTCATTTGTTGTTGAAAAAAGTGTCTATGTATCATAATCCTTACAGAGTAAGGTCATTTTCAAGAATTGTTAAATATTGTTTTCTAATGATATTATAAGCTGGACAATTTAGTAAAAAATGCTTGACATCTTCAATTTCTCCACTTTCACATAGGGTGCAAATGCCTGAAACATCATTTGACCATTTACATGTTTTACAATCAAGGGGTAGTGTATTAGATCTTAATCTCCTCCCGTCGGACCAAAATTTAAAAATGCCTCCCTCATTGGCGTGTGCGAACCACAACTTAAAGTCAGAAGTGGAACGTTAAATTTGGTTTTGTAGTCAGATTTCCAAGAAAAAACTTCAGCTACCCGTATTTCCCGACTGAGACGTCAGTGGGAGCTGTAATTTGTATGGCAAGGAGATGGTGCTACCCTTAATTCGTATTATGGAATTTACGCCCACAAACCTTGTAGTTATTAATATTCTTTTTATAATAGAAAGTTTTTATTTTTTTGGTGACGTCACACTCTCAATATAGTTCACATGCATACGTCATAAGATTACGTCACCGTTTCCTGGTAAGGTAAACTTTCCCGGCCTGCTTTTTTCATGGATAAACACCACTACTTGGTACTTGGTACTTGGTTGGTTATCCTCATAATATACCAGTGAGGGATTTAAACAGGAGGCGCGGAGAGTGTGGTCGGTCTAAAATTATTATTCGTAGCTTTGCTGTGTAAGTGCTGATTTGAAGTGGTCAGGGTTTATATTGCAGTCGATAATATCGGGCAGAAGATTCCAGTCTTTAATAGTACGGGGGAAGAAGGAGTTTGCATAAACATCGGTCCTTGTCTGAGGGATTTGGAATTGGTTGTGTCCTCGTATGGGTCTGGCTGGTTTTGGTGTAATATAGTCGTGGTGGTTTATGCCCATCAGGCCATTGAGGATCTTCTGAAAACATGAGCAACGGTGTTGTTTTCTTCTCTCTTGCAGAGGGGTCCAGCCCAGAGTATTTAATATTGAGGAGATAGATGTATCACGTCCGTAGGTGTTGGTGACAAACCTAGCAGCTCGCCTCTGGATTTTTTTTAGAGGTGTTCGATGTTTTTCTGGGTGTATGGGTCCCAGGCAGCTGTGGCGTATTCAATGTGAGGGCGTACTAGAGTCAGGTAGAGTTTTTTTTTAATGGCAGCGGATAAGTGGTAGAAATTTCTCCTGATGAAGTTAAGAATTTTGGTAGCTTTGTTGGCTGCGTGGTCAGATTGCTTATTCCATCGGAGGTCTTTATGAAGGATTATACCCAAATATTGTCATCGATCGGTTTTATTTAATTCGATTCCCATCATGCTGTAGGATGTGGTTACTGGAGGCCTACTCCTGGTAACGCTCAACGTTTGACACTTCGCAGGATTAAACCTCATATCCCAGGTACCTGCCCACTTTACCATAGTACTAAGATCATCTTGGTAACATCTTGGGGGGTTCGGAATTGTCTATAAATAATTCAGTCATCTGCAAATAGTCGAGTGGTGCTGGATACTTGGTTGTGGCTATAGTTTATGTAAAAAAAGGAAGAGGTCTGGACCAAGTACCGTCCCTTGTGGAGTGCCACTGAGAATATGGATCCAATTTGATGTCTTACCATTTACAGCAACGCGTTGGAGCTTATTCATCAAAAAGGAGCTTATCCAGTCACTAATTAAGTGCCATATACCATAGTAGTTCAGCTTTACAAGAAGGCGGTCGTGAGGATCACATCGAAAGCTTTAGTGAAGTCTAAGATTGCTATGTCAGTTCTGAATCCATCATCTCAACTTTTTGCTAGGTCGTTAGTGGTCAAAATAAGTTGGGTCTCGCAGGACCTTGCTTTACGAAAGGCATGCTGCTTGTCAGATAATATGTTGTATTCTGTGAGATGGTCTATAAGGTTGCAACAGGTACAGGTGAGTGAAATGAGTCTGTAATTTGCGGGGTCGGAAAATATAGGTACGATATACGCCTTTTTCCAGTCTAGAGGTAAATTACCAGTATTTAGTTATTGTTGGAAAATATGCTGAAGAATGGGGGTTTGGTATCATGTCAGGTCCAATTGCTTTGGACACATTTAGGTTCTGTAGGAGTTTCTTTACACCCTCAGTGTTGATGGTGATAGGTGGCATATCTGGATATGGGCTAGGTACCCTTAGATTGATTTGAGAGGACCAGGGATTTTTCTTGGTCATTTGTAAGAAAGTTGTTTCCAACTTTTAGTGACTGGACACCGGTGTTATCTTTCCTTCTTGAGCGTATGTATCGCCAGAAGTTTTTTCGGGATTTCTGTTTCTAGAATGCTGTTTACATGGCATCTATGTGAACGCCTAATGGATCTATCCGTAATTTTGCGACTCTTATAAATTTTTCCCAGTCAGCTTTGGTGCCAGTCTTTCTGGCTCTGGTATAAAATTTCTCCTTTCTACAAAGTTTCTTTAACTTGGTAGTAAACCAGAGGTCACGAATGTGACCTTTGACCATTTTATATGGTACAGTCGAGGAAACAATGTTGTGGATGGAGTCCCAGAACCATGACCAATTCTCATCTACCGAAGCAATGTCCGGGTTCCGGTTGAAGTAGCTCTCCTGGATAAGAGCCGCATGGGTTTTGAAATCTTGGCTGTTAATATTTTTCCAGAGAAGAATCTTGCGTGGTGGTCTTTTGTTAAGTTTGGTCTTGGTTATGATGTTTGACTGTACAATGCAGTAGTCACTTATTCCAGTATGGGGTCTAACATAAAAAACAAGTGACGGGTGGGTAGTCATCAGGAGGTCTTTTAGCTGTACCATTACTGTCTTGTCTAGTAGGGAAGGTGACTAGTTGGGTGAGGTGGTTGTCGTTGGTAAGGTTGATGAGGGTTTGTTGCAAGGTTAATACACTTCCTGATATAGGGTCATTTTCCCAGGAGAGCCCAGGGACATTGAAATCACCGCCTAGAATGGTGAAAGGTGATCGAACGTCTTTGTTGATCCCTTGAAGTGATTCACCAAGTTTCTCTATCGGGGAGTGTCCAGTATTGGGTGGCCTGTAAAGGGCACCAATAGATAGTGTCTGTCCAAGTAACGCAGCTTGGCACCAAAGGAGTTCAGTGTCTTTCCGGTCCGGGATAAGTCAGTTCTTTCAAGACATGGTATATTTTCATTTACTACAACAAAAACACCTCCACCGTTACAGTTCCTGTCCTTCCTAAAGACTCTTAAGTGATTTGGAAAGATCTCGGAAGAAGAAATATTAGAATCTAGCCATGATTCAGTACAAATGATGATATCAGTGTCTTCCTCTTTGAGAAAGGTTCCTAAGATAGCACCTTTGCCACGCATGCTTCTGCAATTTAAAAAGTCTATTGGCCTTTACTGGACGTGATGTTAAGTTACTCCGGGATGTAGGTTGAGAAATAATAGAGTCGTTATAAGCAGCAGATTTAGCTTTACTTCCAGTGTGTTGGCGTGTAATTTTCCATTTGCCATTAGATTTGTGCATAGTTATTAATGGAATGGTCTGAAGTGTTTTCTTAACTGGATACTTAGGAGAATTCTTCATGTCCTCTGATTTAATGTTCTTGGCGATAGTCCATTTGCCAGATTTAAATATGGTAATTGGGTAATAATTGTATTTATGCTATCCGTTGATTTAGTCCAGAGCTTACCCAACTTTAGTAGTCTAATGGGCGAAACTTTGGGTACTTTTGAGGTCTTCGGACTGGATGAAGCAATTGGTCTAGTTGTAGGAGGAATTTGTATATCATTATTGTCCAGAGGCGACAGTGTTTCAAAGGAGTTACTAAAATTAAGTGACTGCATGCTCAAGTTGAAGAAAGTAGAATCTGTGAAGTTAATAATGTTGCAGGCTGGGCAGATCCATACCGCACTTTGGTGGTCAATATGATATGCTAAAGTTTCGTCTGAATCTTCAGAGCAAAGCAAAATAATACATAAAGCCAAACGGATCAAGAAGTATAGATTTGAAAACAAACTTCTGGTTTCCTTAATAATGTTTCGTGTAGGCCTAGATGTTGCATGCAATCTCGATGGAAATCTCTTCCGGTTACATTCGGTTTCAGCGTCAGTAAGAAAAAACATGACGGCGACATACAGGCTCGTCCCAACTAAATGGGGAAAAAAAACGGCGAGGATTTCCCACACAGTAAAAAGATAAACAGCAAGCAAAAAATTCACAAAACAGTGCACAACAAATCAGGGTGTATTAAAATCTCGGTTGAGCGTTGGGCGTAGTTTCGAATGTCTAGGTGAGAATGTCTAGGCCTATACAGGACCGTCAGGCAAACACAAGATACCAACACGGTCAGCGTGCTATACTTGGTTTCGCTGGTGTACAAAGCTTGATTTTCTCCAGGGTAAAGACGTCAGTCGAGTAGGCCTAGGCCTAGGTTTGAAGCGCAAAAACGTATCACTAAATCTTGTAAAAAAGCTTTAAAAATGCGTCGAAACTTCACTTAAGGTAGGCCACATGGGTGCAAATAGCAAATACAGCTTAAAATACGGTTAAATGACTCAATATAATTGCGATTTAAAAGTGCAAGTCACGAGCAATTTAAAACACGACACATGGATGCCTTCTCTGCTTTGCACATGGATGCCTTGCGTAGCTAGGGCTACAAGAGCCGCATTGTACAATACTTAAACAAGGTACGTCTGCAACTGAATTATTCTTAGTTAATTATTTTTTTCTTATTTTAATTTATTTCTTTCGAAAGTGTACTTTCTATCACATATAATTGCACTGTCTACTTAGGCCTAGGCTTACTAATAAATAGCCTCACCATCCCCCGCTACACAGCAGTACACAGTAGGCTAGGCAACTGAACGTGATGTGCCATCCTTCCCAGGTTTCCATGTAACATTTGCATATTGTTGGCTAACCAATTTATGCTTACCGTCCCCCACCCCCACGCTACAGTAGGCCTACAGATGTATGCTATGCAACAGAACGTGATATTGCACCTTCCTTCCCAGGTGTTCTTGTAACATTTGCATATTGTTAGCTGGCTGCGTGTATTCCTTTGTGAAAATGAGTACCATGGCGTACCCATTTTCACAAAGCATTTGCATCCCCTCTTGGAAAGATGGAACTTCGAAATAATTGTCTTCATATCTTCGCTAATTATCACCATAATTTTGATTACACATGCATGGGGTAACTGGAGCACTTAAAACGTAGAATAATCATTTCACTACCGGACAAACCCCGAACTTTATTCATTCATTACATAAATAGTTTCATGTTTCTGTACTCCAACATGCGCAAACCCGTAACTAACGTACGTCGAGCACGTAAAATCCTGAAATTAACGTAATCCGCAACGCAAGATGAATAAATTATGACGTCATCCGCGAAAACTGCCTATTATCTGGCGGCCGCCACTTAACGGTCCCTAAATTTTAATTCACTGGTGGCACTAACGGGCTTCCGTAGGCCTGCCTACTTCGGGGCCTACTTTTAAGTTCTTACTTAATAATGCAGTATCTTGTTACCAATGTTTACAGTACCTACACTAAATCTGTGTAGCTTAGCGGTGAGCAGGGTTATCTGTAAGTTACTACAGCGGTTATCATTCTATTACGTCGTTCAGCAGGCCAAGAACTAATTTATTAACTAAACATATTATAATAACTATATTATACAAGAATTTTATCTATAAAAATGGAGAAAATACAAAAGAAAGATCAGAAATTATGGACATATGTTCAAATTTCTACTCCAATCTATACAAATCTAAGTGTTGTATACAATAGTTACTATGAAAAAAAGAGAATAAAGGTGGGTTGCTCCCACGAAAGAGAAAAAAAAAAATGTATGTTACTTGAAAAAAAAAAAAATATTAGATGAAAGAGAAAAGACCTAAAGAAAGTGGAAAACAAAATAGAATAAGAGAAAAAGGAATACTCTAACGTAATCAAGCAAACACGCAAAATTAGACGTACGAAAGAAGAAAGAAAAGAACAGAAATGATAGAAAGGATTTTAGAAAGTGGGAAAAAAGGATTAAAAGAAATTAAATTATTATATTTTAATTATGTAAATGCTTATCGTATTCGAACAGTAATTGGAAGGTCTTGTGCTCGGATCCGATAGGGAATAATGTGTATCTCAAATATTATTAACTGTGTTTATTACCTGTGGAGTTGTATCTCCATACCTAAATCACCCTCATGTTACTTAGGATTATTTATTGCGTACTTCGCAATACATTGTGGAAAAATTATATTGGTAGGAAAAATTATATTGACATACCTCTTTGAAAACAAATTGTGCAAAATATGGTGGTTGAAATAAATGTGGGATGCACCCACGAAACACAAAAAAAATAAGAGAATTAAAACATACGAAACAAGAATTTTAGCTATGAAAAATGAAAATAGAGAAATTACAAAAGAAATATTATTAGAAATTATGGGCATCTGTTCAAATTTCTACTCCAATCTATACAAATCTAAGACGAAATACAACCCTAAATATGAAAAATGAGTGGTTAATGTTAATGAAGGAATAAATATAGATGGGGATATACTTACTAAACTCCGGTTTGCGGATGATATTGCACTGGTAACAAGTTCAGTATCATCAATGAAAGAATAACTAAACAAATTAGATACAGAAAGCAAGAAAGTAGGCCTTACACTACACAGAGGCAAGACAAAGTACATGACAAATTTCAGTATTGAAACTAGAAAATTATGACATCTGGGTCATCCAACAAATATGGAGGATTCTGACAAAAAGATAAAGGAAAGAATAAAATCGTGTTAGATGACATTCGGTAAACACAAAGAGGCTATTCAAAATCGTAAAATCCCAATGTGTTTAAAAAGGAAGGTATTCAATCAGTGTGTGATACCATTTATATGACATATGGATCAGAGACCTGACACCTCACAAAGAAAATAACGGAAAAGTAACACAACCAGACATGGAGAGACGCATGTTACACATACGGATTCTAGATAGAATACCAAGTACAGCAATAAGACGGAGAACAGGTGTGAATGATATCATGTCAGAAGTGGCAAAAAAGAAATGGAGATGGGCAGGTGATGTGATCAGAACCACAGATAACAGATGAACAAGAAAAATAACAGAATGGATACGCAGAGAAAGTAAAAGAAAAGGGGAAGACAGAAACAGAGGTAGAGAGATGACCTAAAAAATATTGACTTAAAGAAACATCAGACAAAAAGAGGTGGAAGAGTTTAGAGAAGGGGTATGTTCAACAGTGGACTGAGGAACCCTGAAGTACTAGAAGTATGTTACTTGATACTATAGGTATATTTCAAAATGTATGTCACAGGCATGTCACAGAACGTTGATAGTCTGGACAGGGCTTTACGATATTGCGCATCTTATAATTATGTTCGTATTCGTATTAGGCCTACTATTCTCTATGATTATAGGTCATGTCTATCTAGCAGATAATGATCTACACAGTATCAAACAAGGCATGGGAGAGGACTGGAAACTGCTGGGGGTCAGACTGGGCCTCAAGTGGAAGAGGATAAATCAGATGTTGAACTGTAACCGGCAGCCGGATTGCCCAATAATGGATATGCTTATAGAATGGAGGAGTATACAGAAGTACGAGACAAATCAAGTGGAGGTAATGGACAAGGCTTTGAAAGATCATGGACTCACATGTCTTGCTGACTCGCTCTTTGCCTCACAGCGCCATGTAACATCAGGAGAACAAAGTACAGTACAAACATCACATCAAATTGAACGGGAAAAAGATGGTTAGTAATGCATTTTAAATTCTAATATAATGTAGTATACTGGATGATTTATGTATATTTGAATGTTTAGCAAAACATTAAATTTATTGAAACATAATAGGAAAGTGTGATAACTTCTTATATTAGTTATTCCGATTTTGCTTTTTTTTTAAAGTCATTTAGCTTTACAAAAACAAGAACATTTGTCATGTCCTATTGATACCTTTATTTGCTTACATCATGTATCACAATCCTGGTTCATGATTTCATTCAAATATTTATTTTTTAATCATTGCAAAAATGTAATTACAAGATGTTTGTGTTATTGACATTTTTAGTATCATCACTGTAACATATATATTTCATGTCATTTTTCTAAATGTTTAAACAACTTTTTTTGTATTAATAGCCATCACCATAACGTTGGTTAGCACATTATACCTGTTATCATTGGCTTGTAAATATTATTTTTATGTGTATCATATTTGTTAAAGTTTGTTTCAACTTGGCTAATAATATAATATGGAAACCATGTTGGTGCTATAATTTCTATCTTTATTTCAGGTTACTTGGCAGATATTGATATGTTGATTATCGCTGAGAAACTTGATAACGATTGGAAATCGCTTGGCCACATTCTTGGCTTTGAATATTTTGAATTATCCCAAATTACGTCTCAATTTGGACCATCAATTGTTGAAGCCAGTTTAGAAATGTTGGTGAGATGGAGAGATAAACAAAAGGCTAATGTAAATCACCTCGAATCGATGGAGTGTGCATTGACTAAATTCCAACACAATGCTCTCAAGGAAGCCCTTAAAACCTACTACCAAGAAAAATACAATTATTAATTGGTATAAAGATGATGTAATGCAGCCCGTGATAACTGATTAAACAAAATCAATGGTGGCTTTTATGATAATTACAATGTGATTAGACATCTATATTACTATAAAAACATTGTATTTTGTTTGTTATTACCCACACTAGTATTAAACAACCAACTAATGCAAAGGGGTCGGCCAATTCTTTTATTTGTAGGCTATAGTGTGGTATGTATACAATGTGTGATAATATTTTTTGTAATCTGCCTATCACCACTATCTTTTATAATATTTTACTTTTATTTGTACAGATTATATAAAAGAGAATCCATCATTTCTTGATTTATCAGTTCAAAATCCAAATTATTATATATTATATTGCATTATACAAAGATACTCAGTGATGGGTTCAGTTCCTTTCGTTGGTTATAATATAAGATGCTATTAATACTCTTATGTATTTAATAGCATCTTCAGCCTGGATGACACAATAATTTATGGTGGTCTATTTCACTGTAATTATTGTTTACATTTGTAATTTATTAGTCATTGTTCTTAGGTATGTATGTTGTTGTTTGGTCAATAATGTTGATGTTTTATTGTAATGTAAGAAGCTAATAGTCTACGGCATATTCTGTCATTAATTTTCACGTTCAGTACGTATAGTCCCTGGGAAGGTGATCAAGAAATGGCACCTCCTAATCCAAGGTACAGTCGATGTATTACTCAAGAGAAAAATGACATACGTGAGTAGAAAAGATTTAAAAATACATACATGAAGGGAAAAACTACGATGAACTTATTGGAGAATAATATTGTGATATTTAAAGATAGGATTAGATTTAAAATATGTAGTTTTTTCTCACCAGTACCAAAATTTATAGATATGCAAACAAAGTACTGACGAGAAAATGACCAGAATATTCATGGAATCTCAAAGTACTGACTATGACTAATGTGTAGAAAGAAATGTATGAAGGTACACGTAAGCGTTGCCGCAGCGTCAATGGTATCTCAAGAGTTAGAAAGTGCCATCAGAAGATATCTTCCACGTTTTTGATTGACTATCTGTCAAAAATCTGGAAAAGTTTTAAAAATGGATTAACAAATTGAATAGTTCATTGAAAAAGATCACATATATTGCAATTGGCAAAATATATAAATAAAGAATGTATATAAACTAAATATAGTGGCACTAAATTACATCTTGCATTAAAATTGTCTATATAACTTATATGCAATGTAAGTACATTATATATGGTTACATCTATGAAATTAAAAGTACATTATTTGGCAAACGTGGGCATGTGTAAAGGAAATATATATGAAAACTTCCCTGTTTACAAACAATGAGCCACCAATTGATATTTTTTACCAACCTCTTCATTTATTTTTAGCCCAAGTTAAGCAAGATGTTTGACTATTCACTTGCTCTGGAAATTTTCTCATAATGTTCCTTGTATATAATAGTAATATTGTAACTTGATTCAATCTGAATATTTGTGTACTGTTTACAATATTTTTTTAATGTTTCTATTGTGATTTTATACATTTTATAACGGTGATGTTATACAGTATTGTATTTATAGTATGCTCTCTGTTATTATTATCGTTTTCACTGTTTTGGATAATATGAAATAAAATATATTATTGAATATTATATAGCTGTTGTTCTATAGAAAATTTACCATTAGTAACTGTGAATAATCCGCTTTTATAATAATAGGACTTCTGGTGTTATGTACTTGAAAATTAAGTAATTTTATTATATATATTATATATATATTGACTTGTACCCACGAAATAGCATGTTTTTATGTTATTAGATATACTGTAATGAACAATGTTTTATATTATTAGATATACTGTAATGAACGAAATAAAATTATAAATGTCTATTATGTAGTTACATTTATATAAAAAAAAAAGTACGTTAAATGGCAAATGCCAGCATGTGTAAAGAAAATTTCCTATTATTCTGAAACTATTGATATTATTAGCTTTCCTTTAAAAAATATGCAGGCATACTCGCCTCGTATATTAGTCACTGAATAACCAAAATGTGTAATACTAGGTATTCTGATGTTAATAACCTAGGAAATTAACTCATTTTGTTACTTATAATTATTATACCGTAGCATTGATATATTCTCACGAAATAGCATGTTTTATATAAATGTTGTTTATGTATACGCATGAGAATGAAGCATCTATTTATACTGATGCAATACAAATCCATAATTTAGATGTGTACCCATGGGAATAAAGCATACATTTTGTAGTTTAGCCGTAGCTTGGTAGATAAGACGCAAGGCAGGCTTGGCTCACTATAATAGTGCAAACCCGGTCGCCCATGTTTCATCAACTGGGAATGACAAAATATGATAATAATGTGGAAAGTGTTACCAAAATCCAAAAGACCATAATATATTGGAAAAGTTTACTAAATTACATGGATTTTTGATAACTAACAACAGAGTTAGGACAATATTTATAGTCATATGCAAAATTCGTCTGTCGCCAGAAAAAAAAATACCGTTTTAGCAATCTGCCATTCAATAAATGCTGTGTACCACAGGGCTTATAGTTACCGATTTGTAAGCTGGTAGGAAGGTTGCCAGTTTGTACTTTAAGTTTTTAAATCGTGGGTGGGTTTAGTATGGTTATGGTACAGTTTATCCGTGTCGCCAAATGCACGTAATATACGTTACGTAATCATAATTGCCAGGAAAAAACATATATTATTGCAAGAAACATTTAAGGTAATAACTAATATTTGCTTAGTATAGGATGTTATGAATACTGTATTGTTAATTTGGAAATTCTTTTTTTTTTTTTTGATTATTTAATCCTTTTAATTTATTGTTATTAGTTAGGTCATTAGATTAGTCCGGGGACCTTAATTACAGGCCTATGGCCTCCTTGGTCCTCGGCACTTGTAGTAGTTAAGTTAAGTTGCAAATTACAAGTGAAATAAAAAATGAAAATGAATGAAATAAAATGAAAAGTAGAATAGTCATCTATGCTAAATATGATCTTAAACTTGAAATTTTAATTGTCGCTTTTAAGCAGTGAAACATACGTTACCTGATTTCTTCATATACCAGTTCAAGAATTTGAACCAAACTAAACGTGAGAAGTAGTTAAGTAATAAGAATGGACACCGCGTCAGTAAATCATCATTGGTGTTAAGTAATCATGTTTAATTAGTAATTTGGAATATTAATCCATATTAATGAAATATAGAAGGCATAAAACTATTAATAAATGACTTTATTTACGCCGCCAACGACACATGAAAGTTTTAGAACCTTCCAAGAAAAACTGGCATTGAGCAATTGACACCCAGAACCTTGTATTTATCAACTGTGTGATTCCCTCGAATGGTCCTACGCCCATCATTAAAGTGAAGCAACTTGGTATTTATTATAGGCTGTGTCTCGACTATATTTAGTTAACAAAATAGTTAATATTTATAATGAAATGTAAAATTGAAAATTTCAGGCAATAGCTTAGGCCTAGTTGAAAGGATTACTACGTTGTGAAAAGTAACGTATGTTAAACACACGGTAACGTATGTTATTGTTGATATAGCATATAATAAACATCATTTAATAAAAACATGGGCAGTGGCTGATATATTTACATTCTGTTACATATATCCTAACATACAGTGACTCTCTATATAGGAATGCTATCATTCATGGAAATTATCCCTATTGCATATATTTCTGATCTATTTTGAGGTAACGTATATTACAGTAAAATATTATGTGTACATTATAATCGCGAGTAAATTTATGAAAGTAAACGTTACACATTAAATAAATTTACCTAATCAACATTCTTTAACATCAAATAGATATGATGACAACAAATATGTTTGCAAATCATCTTTATAATGTTCTATTAGATAAGTAATCCTGGTAACGTAGGTTACAAAACTTGATCAAATCGAAAGAACGAGCAAAATTAGGGGCTTAACCATATATTATTTAAAAAAAGAACATATTATCAGCTACTTTAATTATTTAAAAAAAAAACCCATAAAAATAAATAAAAAAACAAACCAAATGTTCTTGTTGATTATAGACAAAACACTCTTCAGTCATTTATGATAGTTTTGAAAAAATGTGCTCATTTTGAATGCGAGGTTATCATTTATTTTTAATAACATGTACTCACAATTGAGAAGAGAAATTATAATTTTACTTGATTTTACAACGA